GCTTGTTGATCTCTGTTCGATGATATGCACAAGGAAGGCAAGATTCTCCTCTTGGAAAGAGATAGAATGTCTTCAGCTAAGGAGTCTCTACAACAATCTCTGGACTTCCGTGAAATTTAGGTGGGCTTCAGACAGCACTGCAGCTTAACTGTTCCTCTGGGCAGAGTAGCAATGGCCTCCAACGAAACATCTCAGTTGCAAATTACCCTGACTACAGCTCCACATTTGACATTAGCTACTGAAATCTGGCTTACACTGAGTTGGACCATCAAGCCCAGAAGATCAAACTGGTAGAAATCCTTCTGGATATCAAGCAGGAGTCTTTCTCAGCCCAATTCCCTGGGATGGCATCTTTGAGGGATCTACTTAACTACTCATTGTGTACCTTTGGTAATTGATGGCAAGTAAGGTGCGCTTACCATCAAGACGTAAATCAAACTTTTCCCCCTAAGCTCTTGAGGAAAGCACATGAAAACCATTTAGAAAGGAAAAGTGCTCTGTTCCTTCAGCCAATTTAAACTAAAAACCAATAACCTGCAAAAACACATAAACGTGCCAGCAGACATAAATACTCTTTTGTGCTTTTTAGCTTTGAAAAGCTACTTTTGTCAAAATTCAGCCAAATCCCATGAATGACATGAACAAAATGACAGTAATTTGTCACAATTTCACATTCCCCCCTTGGCTGATTCCAGTAGTTATTTATGAAGCACCGAAGCCAACGGTCACTTTGATGACTAAACCATAAATTAACATGTAAAGCGAATATAAATTTGATTTCACAGAAGCAACGAATTGCCAGGCAGCTGGGATATTATTTAATTTCCATCGATGTGCCATGGAAAAAAAGTCAGCAAAAGGAGATGTGCTACATCTTAATAAATCTCCAAACTGCAGAACACATCTAATATTTGATTTGCTCCATTGACTTGGTTTTAACACAGTGTACTGAATGCATGTCTTAAATTTTACACTGTGGAAAGCCCAGGTTTATGACAACTCGTTACTATTTGACTTATTCTGTTATTAGGAGACTGAACGGGTGCATTAAGCTGAAAAAAATGTGAATACTTCTAATAGTTCTCATTCAAAAAATGTAATTATATCCAAGAAATAAAACTGCATCTATATGGGTTTAGACATCACAAAAACTCTGTCTTTATCCCTATTAATAAATGTGCTTTAGGATTGTGAGAGCCAACTCATGGACCTGCTCATTAGCAATGTTTTCCTTTAAAAAGGAAGCATGAGTTATTTGCCAGTTTTACAAGAGCATCTCCCTTACAAGAGCATCTCTAGAACATTCCACACGCTACAGAATTGGTTGGCGCCCTGGTGTGTCAGTCAGAATCTGTCCCTATCCACTGGCTGCATTGCTTGAGTCTCGCATCCAACATTCTAAACAGTTTGCTGTTCCCCTTCTTCCCATAGCCAGTCAGAACACAGAGGTTATTTGCATATGCAGTCTCATTGGCCTCTGCCTCGGAACACAGAGGTCGTTTGCATATGCGACCTAATTGGCTTTTGCCTCTAACATTCTAAACAGTTTGCTGTTCTGAGGTAAAATGTGTCCAATCTCCAGATGAGGGCTGGAGATCACTCAGAATTACAACTGCTTTCCAGATGGCAGAGATCAGTTCCCCTGGAGAAAATGTATGACAGCCAATGTGACGTAGCAGTCAGGGCTTCAGAGCACGGGAGAGGCTGCAGGTGTGTGGGGGGTAGAAAGCTGAAGAGTGAGGGGGAAATAAAGGTAGGTTGATGATTGGCTGGGAAGGAAATAGGGTTGCCAACTCCTGGTGGAAAATTCCTGGAGATGTGAGGGATGGAGCCTGGAGAGGGTGAGGTTTCAGGAGGCGTGGGACCTCGGACAGGTACAAAGCCACAGACTCCGCTCTCCAAACCAACCAATCTCCAGGTGAGGGCTGGAGATCACTCAAAATTACAACTGTTCTTTAGGTAGTAGAGATCAGTTCCTCTGGAGAAAATGGTGGACTCAGTGCCATTATCCCCTGCTGAGGTCACCACAGCAAATTGACACAGAGTGTCCAAGGCCAGGGCACCTGCCCAGAGCCTCTTTCTAGAGGCTGTTGTATTTATTTCCAGAACGGGCCTTTTCCCTAGTGTTTTATACTATGAGGAAACGACTTTAGCATTCAAGGCTCCCTCTGCAACCAGAAAATTCATTTTCCGAGCTCATTTTCATTTATCACAGTAAACCTAGGTCTGAAAACAAAATCTACTGCATGCTACCAGCTATTATTTTCCACTCAAGAACAGATTTGACATAATTCACATGCATACATTCATTGTACTTTGATGGTGATGTTATAGGTTTTGCTAGCCATCTTGAATCTTCTGAAAAGAAACGTGGCATAAAATGCCTAAGGATATCACAGGCAATATCTAAGAGGTACCTGCGATGTCTTGTAATCATGTTTCACATAGCAATCCTACTAAAATGGATGTAGCATTTTGGGATTGGGAGAGAGTGAGCGACAATAACATAACAATTTTAAACAGATTCAGTTGGGTAGCGGTGTTGGTCTGAAGCAGTAAAACAAAGTTTGTGTCCAGCGGCACCTTTAAGACCAACAAAGTTTTATTCAAGGTGTGAGCTTTCATGTACGTGCACACTTCCTCAGACTGAGTGTGTGCATGCACACGAAAGCTCACACCTTGAATAAAACTTTGTTGGTCTTAAAGGAGCCACTGGACTCAAAAACTTTGTTCTAATCCTGAACAGAGTTGTGCCTTTCTAAGCCCACGGACTCCAGTGGATTTACAAGAGTGTAACTCTCCTTAGGGCTGCACTGCAAGCCACACTTTCTTCTGTGGAAAGGCCATGGTACAGCATCTGCTTTACATGCAGAAGGTCCCACAGCTTCAATTCCTGGCATCTCTAGTTAAAGAAGGGATGAGAAACGTCTCCTCTACGTGAGCCCATGGAGAGCAACAGCCAGGCAGAGCACTGTCCTTGACAGTCTGTGGTCTGACTCTGTATAAGACAACTTCATGCATTCTTGTGTGTTCAAAATAATGTGCATGCAGACTGGGCTTGGACAATGTGATATCCTAGCTGTGTGCATGATGGAGGGTGTATTCCAGACCACTGGACTGTCAAGGTCAGTGCTCTCACCACAAATGAGTAACAAGCATAATCAGCATGGAGATTTTTACTGAAAGCAAATAGTAAGACATAAGAACATAAGAGATGCCAATGTTGGATCAGGCCAAAGGCCCATCCAGTCCAACACTCTGTATCACACAGTGGCCAGAAATACCAGTGCCATCAGGAGGTCCACCAGTGGGGTCAGGACATTAGAAGCCCTCCCACTGTTGACCCCCCCAAGCACCAAGATGACAGAGCATCACTTGCCCCAGAGTCCCTTATCTATACCTTGTGGCTAATAGCCACTGATGGACCTCTGCTCCATATGCTTATCTAATTCCCTTTTGAAGCCGTCCATGCTTGTAACCGCCACCACTTCCTGTGGCAGTAAATTCCATGTGTTAATCACTCTTTGGGTGAAGAAGTACTTCCTTTTATCCATTCTAACCCGACCGCTCAGCAATTTCATGGAGTGCCCATGAGTTCTTGTATTGTGAGAAAGGGAGAAAAGTACCTCTTTCTCTACCTGCTCTTTCCCATGCATAATCTTATAAACCTCAATCATGTCACCCCTCAGTCGTCGTTTCTCCAAGCTAAAGAGCCCTAAGCGCCTTAACCTTTCCTCATAGGGAAAGTGTTCCAACCCTTTTATCATTCGAGTTGCCCTTTTCTACACTTTTCCCAAAGCTATAATATCCTTTTTAAGGTGTGTTGACCAGAATTGCACACAGTATTCCAAAAGAGGTCGCACCATTGATTTATACAGGGGCATTATGATATTGGCGCGCACGCACACACACACACACACACACACACACATTATATTGTTCCTGCACTATAATCCACAAAGAATGCAGGGGCCATAGCTCAGTGGCCCATCATAGGCTTTGAATAGAGAAGACCCCAACTCTAGAAGGGTATTTGCCCTAGCTAGATGTTCTGCCCTTCCATCTGCGGTTATTCAAGGCAGGGACAATAAACCCCCCTACCCTGAAAGGCTATGTTCACGCCTTTCACACGAGGTTGAATTGGTAGAGCATATGTTTTTCAGTTGCCCATTCTACAGAGAGGCTCGTCTTAAAATTATTACACCATTAGTTGATAGGATACCTGGTCACGTTAATACCAACAAAGCAAGGCTTCACTGGCTTCTATCAGATAAGAATGCAGAGATTACACATGCAGTTGCTGAGTTTTGTGCATTGATTCTTAGATTGCGGGAGTCGCATTTAAAAAAAATGTAATTTAGATTTTTACTCTGTATATTATCTCTGGGTTTTTTCCTCACTTTCTCATATTATGTTTATATTGTATGCTGGTCTTAAGACTGTAATAATAAAACAAAACAAAACTAAGCTAAAGAAGACCCCAGGCCCAGTTCTTTACATCTCCAGTTCAAAAATCTCAGGCTGCAGGCAGTAGAAAAGACCCGTATCTTCCTAAAACCTTGGAGAGCCACCATCTCTCCAAGCAGGCAATACTGAGCTAGAACAACTGGGTGAGTATACAGCAGTTTCATATGTTCACTGGGCTTCAATGAAAGGAAATATCTCTCTCTCACACACACACACACACACTTTCTTATTCTTCTTCTTCCAACTGTAAAACATTAGGCGGAGGGATGACATGCTGGTAGCACACACTTTGGCAAGAAATAACATTTGGTTCTCTTACAAGGGAATAACATTTGGTTCTCTTACACCCTGTTAGAGTGCAATCCTAAGAAGAGTTACACCCTTTAAGACCACTGATCTTAACAGACTTAGAAGAATGTAACTCTGTTTAGGATTGCACTGTAACATGTTGTGGCATGAATGTCTGCACTTTGTAAGAGTCACTTTAGCATTTCTGCAATGCTCTGCTAAACTGGGATGGAGACCAGGCTTACCTGTCGGTGTATCATTTCCAGATTTGTTTTTGCATTGTTCACTAGGGTTTCAATTTCTGCTGAATTCTTCAGGTTTTTGTTTTCTCTGAAGGCATCTCTTATCCTTCGGATGGCATATGTCCTAGATAAACAAGGGAGCATCCACAAGGTTGTCAAAACTTTGATAAACAAATTGTAAAACAGTCATAACAATGCAGAGGGAAAAAGTTTTAAGTAACTTGCTGAAACAATGGTAACAACACTTAGTAATTTCACGTCCCATATGTATCATCTCTGTCAGTGTTGCAAATGCTTCACATACATTAACCCTACTAATCCCTGCTAGCTAAATCAGTAATGTTATCCCTGTTTTGCAGAGCGAGAACCTCCACATTCAGAGGCAATAAACCTTTGAATCCCACTGCTAGAAGGTAACATCAGGAGAAGTAGCATTGGCTACTGTGCCCTGTTGTTGGCCTTCCAGAGTAACTATAGCCACTGTGTGAGACAGGAAGTCAGACTACTGGTCTGATCCAGCGGGGCTCTTCTTCTCTTCTCAAAGGATGGCTTGCTTAAGGTCACCTGATGAGTTTATGTTAGAGGTGAGATTTGAACCAGGGACCTCCAGAATCAGAATTCTTTTCCTTTATCTTATAGCAATGTGTGGCCCCCATCTGCAGATATCTAGATCTATGGATTGGGGACACACCAACCCTAAACAGATTTTCCTGCAAACTTGGGGGACTCCACAAGTGTTTCTTCTGCTCCCCCTCACTCCTGTGCCAAAGGAGTTATTGTTCTGGGTTCTACACCTGATTTAAAGGAATGCTTCAGTCTGGGCAGTGGCCCGCACTAACAATTGTAAGGGACTTGCTGGCAAAACTCATATACAAGTTTCAAAGAAATACTGAGAATCTGGAGGAAGTGAAAACAGTAATACAGTTTATAGAGGGGAACAACAGAAGTAGATGGCCTGGAGAATTATCAAATTCAAGCAATCAAAAGATAATCAAGCATTCGGCAATACGACCCAACAGCAGAATGCCCATGTTGAGCAACAAACATCCCAAGAACACGTGTACTGTGCACTCAAGGGGAAAGGGGAAGGTGATAGGTTCCAGAAGTAAGAACACAAGAGCACCTGTGCTGGCTCAGACTAATGGCACACCCTGTCCAGTATCCAAGAGCAACCAAACAGTTGCCCTTGGAAGGCCTACAAAGAGAGCATGGAGATCAACCCTCTTGTTGTTGCCCCCCAGAGCACTGGTATTCAGGTCCCCCCCCAAATATGTGAGCAGCATTCAGTCATCATGGCAAATAGCCACTGATAGACCTGCTCTCCATGCATTTATCTCAACTCCTTTTACAATCAACTGAACTAGTGGCTCTCACTACATCTTGTGGCAGTGATTTTTGCAAGCTAACTAATCTTGATTTTGTGTGTGTGTGTGTGTATGCATGCAAGTATGTGTGTTTGTGGGCTTTCCTGGAAGTAATGGTGACTTCTGGCAACCCCTACTGGAGGCTTGGACATGTTCTGAGAGAGGTGGTTTGATTAGCCTGCTTCTGTGTCCCACCTCTGGTATTCCTTGGAGGTCACCCTTCCAAGTACTTGTCAGAGTCGGCCCTGCTTAGCTTCCGAGATCTGATGAGATTGGATTGCCTGGACTATCCAGGTCAGGGCACAAGCTAACTAATCTTGAGTGAAAAAGTACTTTTTTTCATCTATCCTGCAAATTCTTGTATTATGGGAGAAGGAAAAACAGTTCTCTCTATCCACTTTCTATCTATACATGTCTCTTCTCAGTCATCTTTTCTATAAAGCCACAAACTCCTTAGTCTAGGGGAGGTGCGTCAACCCCTTGATCATGTTAGATGATGTTTCTACACTTTCCCCACATGAATGTTTCATTGTAGCCTCCTGTATCTTGGTCCTTCTCTGAGGAAGACCTCAGAAACGAACATATTACCTGGAAACTTTGTTAGAATACAGATATTAGACGTTCTTTGAATTTTGGACTTCATAAAACACAGATATTGAATACTGGACTTTATATCTGTATTAAAATTAAAATTGATATTTTTGTAAAAGATATAGATGACTGCAAAAGTGCTTTGATTATTGTTGTTGTGGTTTATATAAAGACATATATTAGCATATTGCACAGCCTTTTTGTTCTCTTGTCCCTCTACACCTTTTCCAACATTTCGTTATCCCTTTTGGGATTTCACAGCCAGAACTGTGCAAAATATTCCAAATGCTACTACACAAGAAACACATACAAGGAAATTACAATATTGCTTGCTTTGTTTTTAGCCCTTTTCCTAATTTAATCCCTGATTTAGGATTTGCTTTTTCCCACTGCTGATACAATGAAACATACTGACATTTTAAATTAGCCATCCACCTCAGTGCCAAGATCTCTTTCCTGGTCAGTCACTGCCAGGTCAGACCTTGCCTGTATATATTTTTTAAATTAGGAATTTTGCAGCATTCTTACTCACCCAGTTTGGAGAGATCCTTTTGGAGCTCTTCATAGTACAATCTGGCCCTCATCATCCTGAATAATTTGGCGTCATCTGCAAAACTGGTCCCTCCACTGTTCATCCACGATTCCAGATCACTTACCAAAATTAAACAGCATTGATCCCAATACTGATCCCTGTGGAACTCTACTGCTCACTTCCCACCACTGTGAAAGCTATCTATTTATTCCTACTCTTTGCTTCTCAACGTGTGAAATTTACTCAGGAACCTTTGGTGAAGAACTCTGTCAAAAGCTTTTTGGAAGTCGAGGTGGGGTCTACGGCACAGCAATGGCGGACGCCTTTCCCAGCTCTCTAGGAAGGCACACTGCACAGCAGCGGGGGGGAGAGGTGCTGCTGGATCGGCCCCCCCACGGGAGTTCAGGGGGAACTCCCAGGCCACAGGGCTTTTGAGGATGAGCCTCTTTTCCTGCTAATTGCGGGGAGATGGAGGCTCCCCTCCGCCCTGACGGTCCCTCTCGCTGACTGCGTCCTCTTAGTGAGGCCACAAGCTGTGTCAATCCAGTCAAGTGCAGGAGAGCTAGCAGAGGAGTGATTAAGAGCGTGGTCAAGATAAAGACCAACAATGAACTGTGAGTTAAGGAGCGAATTGTGAGTTAAAATGAGCGATTTGTCTTCAGAAGAGAAAATCCCCCCCCAAAAGAAAAAACTTTCTGAGCGATTGGAACCGTGCTGAGAGAGGGACACCTCTCAGATGCATTTACATAAATGGAGGAAGGGGGGAGAGGAGAAACAATTGTAAACGGATACTTGAAGTGAACCCCCCCCCCTGAGAAAAAGCACAAGAGAAACAGGAAAGATTTACAAGGACTTAACTCCTTCCTTGCAAGTGTTCTTAGAAAGTGTCATCTTAAATCCTGCTGAGAAAAAAGAGCTTGAGTTTCCCTTCACAATCAAGAAATCTTTGAGATGCCACTGTGCCCCGAGGGCGAGACCAGAGAGGAAGAGGCTTAAGACTGGCGGTTTTATCCCTTTGGACGGAGGAAGACTGAGCTGCAGAATTTGGAGTGAACGTCTAAGAAGCTATTAAGATTTTAGAGTGCTTTAGTATAGATGTAAAGGCTATACTCTGGACTCTGGAAATTGCCTTTATGAAGCGAGCTGGAGGAGATGCTTGGGAAATCTTCTCATAACAAGTAACATACTAACATATAAGCTTAGAAAGTCAGGTTCTCACAAAGTATATTGTTTACTAACGGTAGTTTAACAGGGAATGATCTCCTAACCTTGGGTTTTTAGTTTAGTGTGGGTTGCCTTTCCTTTCTCCCTAATTGTAGTTCCCCTATCCATATTTTTCTTGGTAGTTTTTGTAGTATTAAAAAAAAAATCAATCCCCCTCCAGGGGCTTGTATAAAAAAAGCTTTTTGGAAGTCTAAATACGTATACCACATCGCTCTAGCCAAGTGTTAACCCTTTTATAGAATTATTAAAAAACACGAGACAGGATGTTTTACATAGTTGTGTGGAATTTCCCAGAAAAATTTATTAAACTGGAGAATTTTTTCAGAAAATTATCTGATACCTAAAGCAGAGCATGATCTGATTCAGCATGTTCATTTTGATGTATAACTAGGAAACACAATTGAAAAAGTATTCCAGTGCTAGTTTTATATCCCATCAACAACAAATACTTGAACTATAATATTTGATTGGGGGGGGAAACAAGCATGGTTTGAATTTTCTATTAAAAATTCAAAAATTTATGTGAAAACAGGCAGGGAACCCACAAGGACTTGACAGAGGTCACTTCATTTCCCCATATCGCCCTTCTCTACACTATTTCCTCTCTTTCTTCTCCTGGCAACCCCTTTGCCCACTTCCTTTTGTCATTCCTACACACTAACTAACCTTTTATCTTCTCTCGCAGTCTTCAGCTTTATTTATTTACTCCATGTATACCTCACCTTTCTCCCCAATGGAGACTCAAAGCAGCTTATACCATCTTCCTCTCCTCCATTTTGTCCTCTTGACAACCCTGCGAGGTAGATTAGGTGATTGGTGCAAGGCTACCACCCAGCACTCTTCCATGGCAAAATGGGAATTTGAACCTGGTTCTCCCAGATCCTAGTCTGACTCTGTAACAACTACACCACGCTGGCTCTCAACCTCCCCTATTTTCCTCACCTTGGCAACTTCTCCCTGGAGAAAGTCTGGCAAAGGTGCAAATGCCATGTGGTAACAAGTTGCTCAGGTGAGTTATGTGGTGGCCTAGGCCCAGTGGAAGCCTCCACACAGGCATCAAGTAGTAGTCCCTACTGCACCTAGGTGAGTTGCACAAACTGCATGGTAGTTAGTTGCCCAATGTTTGCTGCTGGGCCTGGTCCCAATGAGGCCTCCCTCCGCGGCAGGAGAGAGGGGAGCAGGGGTGGACTGGGGGGCCAGAATAGCCTTGGAAAGGCTTTAACTGACAGAAACCAAAGTGTGAAGGCTGGCAATATTGCCGTGGTTGCCTAGAAATCCCCACAATGGCTACTTCAGAGGGCATTTGATCCTTAAAGGCCCAGACACTGCTTCTATTATTTTAGGGGGCTTGCTCAGGAGACAACAAACCAGCGTGGGTAGTGGTTAGAGTGTCATACTAGGATCTGAGAAACC